ATATATACTCGTATGTATGTATATTTGTGTGTGCATTGGTACGTGAGAAGAAAATGAAGGTCTTTGTCATTTCCGAATATCTTTATATTTCTAGATACTTATCGTTTTTAAAATCACATTTCCCTTTCAGCTGTAACTGAACAGGCACCTTCAGTAACTTCCAGCGAATCCCAGGTGAGAATGTGAACCTCTTTTGTGTAATCATGTTGACATTTGTGGTTTTGACCATGCACTGTCAGTGACACTCCTCGACACATACGGACAGAAATGCACTTACCAGTGAATACTATAAATTCATATCCCAGTACTGTATGCTGATTTAGATATCTGCATGTATATATATATATATATTATAATATTATATATATATATATATTTGTTTTCAATGTCATTTCATAAGGCTTTGAACATTTTCTGATAAAACGATAATGATTCTACAGGATTTGAGAAAAAATGTTAGTATGAGGCAATCATTTCCCAGTAAGCTGTAAGCTTAGATATGTACCCGAATTTTAGCATTCGTCTTTTTGTATTTAGATGATAAACTATATACCTTACCCCCAGCTCCAAGTGAACAGCCACCAGTAAACGCCACTGAATGTGTTCCCTTCCGACACGATGGAGAAATCGTGAGCGGATGCGTTGGCGAAGAAGTTTTTTTATTCATTTTGTCACGATTCCTTTATCTACTAGTCTGTTTGATTTACTATTATCAAAATTGCCAGTTTCAGATATACTTATCCTTTCTGTTAAAAAACATTTTCCCTTTCAGACGTAACTGAAGAGCCACCGCCAGAGACCACTACCATTAATCCATTTGAGTCTCGCTCAGTACCGAAAAAGCCTGAGTATGAAGGTAGGAAAGCATTACGTAAGCCCATGTACGTGTCCGTAATCTCTAGTTCATTCGCCCGGAGCAACTTAGATGTCTTGACCATGATCCGGTTCCAGGATTTTTAAAAATTATTTTCATCAGTTACCCCAATTGCCAAGTATTATTGTTTTCATTACCTTTATTACCTCCGCCAAATAGGTTATGCTTATGGCCGACAGCAGTGTACTTGAGAAAGATGTGATGTTATTGTAATCCTTTATGTGTGAATATTTTTATTGCATCATAAACCTCATAGTTTTGACGGAGGTATGCGCTCTCTCAGTGCTTCTAGTTGAATCTAAAACCACACTTTTGTTTCTCGTTTTTCGTTATCTGTTAAAAGATGCAATCCTTTTCCTACTCTCAGCTGAAACGGAACCGCCACCTCCAGAAAGCTTGTGCGTTCCCTTCCGATACGGAGACGAAATCGTGAACGGATGCGTGGGCGAGCAAGGGAAGGAGGAGATAATTAAGACGGAGGGAGAAGGAGGAGAGATAACCTGGTGGACAGTGAAAGGCAGATGGTGCGCCTCAGAAGTAGACGAGAATCTGAATCCCGTAACCATTATACTGTGTAAGTTAATTGGAATGCAAGTCACACACACACACACACACACGCACACACCACACACACACACACACACACACACACACACACACACACACACACACACACACACACACACACACACACACACACACACGCATGCATGCATGCACTAACATACACTAGCACAAACATACACATAAAAACAAACAGTAACACATACACACGCAAACATACACACACAAATATACATATAAATATATATATACACATATATGTATGTTGATATATATATATATATATATATATAATATATATATATATATATATATAATATAATATTTATATATGTATATGTTTATATATACAAATATACATATAAATATATAGATATATATGCACATATATGTATGTTTATATTTATATATATGTATATGTTTATGTATTTGTATTCATATATATGCATGTATCTTTATTTAGTTATTTATTTATACGTATATCAATATCTGTGCGTGTACGCGCGTATGTACATTTCTGGCTTTCCTTCCTCGTCCCCCCCCCTCCCCCGGACCCGCAGGCGACGTGTGCGTTCCCTTCAGCCACAAAGGGATGCTCATGAGGGGCTGCGTGGGCGGCGAGTGGTGCGCCCGCAGAGGTGGACGAGGATATGAATGTCTTGAAGGCTATGAGCTGTCCGGAAATTTCTTGTAAGTGACGGAGATCTGGCTTAATGTGTAGGTTATTGCTTTGTATGCGTCTTTATATGTGAAAATATAAGAGAAGTGTATGTATCTTTATAATATCATTTTGAATTAAGAAACATGCAGTGCTCTTGGTTATCATTTTTTTTTTTTTTTCTTTAACTTCGATGGAGCTTGTGAAGTTCATGATCATATCCGACCTTCTCGATATTTTTCTGTTTGATTTAACGGGATGAAAAGTGTCAGTTTCAGATATGTTTGTCCTTTTTTATTAGAGTGCGTTTTACCCTTTCAGCTGTGACAGAACCACCGCTAGAGACCACTAGCACATTTGAGTATGAAGGTAGGAAAGCATTACGTAAATCATTGTATATACAT